CTACCAGGGATTGAACACGAAACCCGGCATGTGCCCTGGCCGGGAATCGAACTGGCAACCTCTCGGTGCATGGGACAACGCCCACAGAATGGTAGTTGTTTCTTCCCGTCCTGGGGATTAGGGCAGGCTGGATGAGTAGGGAACTTTCTGGAACAAAGCAGGCTGACAGTGTGGGTGGGAACTTGGGGACCTGGATTGGTCACATGGTGGTGTGAGCAGAGAGATCAGCCCTCTCCTGAATGGTCATATGCAGTCAGGGCGGAGTTCCTGGGTGCAGGCGAGCAACACTCTTAGTATTTCTTTGCTTCAGCCTGGAAAGTAGCTGTTTCTTTCACCCTTTGAAAGGAGTCTTAGCCATTGTATGAGTTCAGACCTTTACGTTCCACACGGGTGACGCAGGTCCGGGAAGAGCCTCGATCCAGTTTGCACAGGTGCAGAGATGTGGCGAGGACTTGGGCCACCTGATGCCACTGCCCCGCCACCGAAAGGCTGCCTGAATGCTGGGCATTTGTGATACAGACTTGGGGTTAAGTCAGTCTTGCTCTCAGGAACTTACCATTTTTCCCTCCAGAGAGGAAATGCATGAATTAGCTGTAATAAATATGCTGTACTAAAATGCACGATAATAAATTGAGGTGTGGATGGCAGAGAAGGGGTGCAGTGAGGTCGACCTGGAAGGCTGGAGAAGGGTTCATGCTTGAGCTGACATCTTTGTGATGAAGGGGGCTGGAGACAGTTTGGTCAGATAGTGTGTGTGTGTGTGTGTGTGTGTGTGTGTGTGTGTGTGGCAGGGGAGTCCAGGCAGAGGGGTCGGCACAAATAGACACATCTTAGAAAAGGGCCTCCTCTTTGGTATCAGACGGGGCTGAGTTCTGCCCCCTACTAGTTCTCCTCTTTGGTATCAGACAGGGCTGAGTTCTGCCCCCTACTAGTTCTCCTCTTTGGTATCAGACAGGGCTGAGTTCTGCCCCCTACTACCCTACTAGTTTTGGACAAATGATTTGCTCACTCTGACTTCCAATGAGCTCATCTGTAACAAGGAATTTAAACAAACAAACAAGCAGGACTTTAAGGTTTGTCTTGAGATTATCATTAGAAAGCACTTACCCAGAATGTCAGCCAGAGATTTGTGTGGAAGAAAAGGTCTCAGTTATGCTAATAGAGGGTGGGGCAAAAGGGGGTTTACAGTTGTTTGTATGGAAAAGAATACAATACTTAATAAATAATAATACAAGAATGAACTGTGTTTTGCGAACTCACAACTGTAAAGCTGTTTGGCCACCCTGTGCACGGGGTTGCATCACACCATTGCTGCTGCCCTGGCTTTGGCTTTGCAGTGGGTTTCCGAGGCCCTGACTGTGGGCTGTCGGTGTCTGTCGGTGCTGTGAGCTCAGGGGTGAGGATTTCCCAGAGTGCAGAACTCTGATCTCTGTGGGAAAAGAGGCCGTGAAAAACACCAGGTGAGGCCCTTTCCTTTGTTAAGAGCGGTGTTTCAGCCCAGCCGGTGTGGTTCAGTGGTTGAGTGTCGACCCATGCACTAAGAGGTCACCAGTTCGATTCCCTGTCAGAGCACATGCCCAGGTTGTGGGCCGAATCCCCAGTGGGGGGCATGCAGGAGGCAGCCAGTCCATGTTCTCTCCCATCACTGTTTCTATCTCTCCCTTCCTCTCTCTCTAAAAATCAATAAAGAAAAAAACAAAGAATGGTGTTCCACCAGGAAGAAGGAGTCGTTATTTAAGAGGCCCAGAACTTTCGCTTCCCTCAGAGTTCTCAAGATTGCCTGGTTGCAGATTGAAGGCCTCAGAATGAATAACCCTACTTTAAAAATTTTTTCAATCCAGTTAACTCTCGAATCGAAGTGCTCAGAGCTTTCCATGGTGAACAGGACGATGGCTCCCCCGTGTGTGAGTGTTAGGTGGTCAGCCCTAGGGTGTTCCTGCCTGGGAATGGCATGGGGGTAAGCCGTTAAAGACTCTGGGTTTAGGGACATTCAGCTGTGGGAGGCACAGTTCATGGTGTAGGTCTGTGCTGTCCGAAATGTGGTCCCCAGGCCAGCAGCAGTGGGAGCCTGGGAGCTTGATAGACATACAGAATCCGAGACCTCCCCCTGGACTTCCTGGGTCAGAGTCCGCATCTGAGCAAGATCTGGAGGTCATTTCGTATACGCTGAAGTTCAAGAAGCCTTGGGTGCGGATTACTTTCCCCTGGAGTTCCGTCTCCCCTTTCGCCAAGAGGAGCCTTCCTGGCTCGGTCTGGCTAGAATGTATCTTTGTTTCTATCTGACTCCTTTACAGGACCGAAGAAGAGGTTTCTGATGGGCTGGGGTCTGCAGGTTCATGAAAGGAGATGAGGAGGGAGCGGCCCGTGAAGAAGCTGTTCTCCATCGGAGACGTTGACACTTGCCGTGAAATGTGTGACCGAGCTTGGAGGCTAGAAAGCTTTTGCTTACAGAGGCAGCTAGTGAACCTTTTTCTTACCTGAATCATTCACCATGAGTGTTTGGCTCAGTTCTACTCATTGGCTCGGCTCTTCTATCCGGTCATTTTCTTTTTCTTCTTTTTTTTTTTTTTTGCAGGAGGGAGAGAGAGGAAGAGAGAGATGGAGAGAAACATCGATGTGAAAGGGACACATCGAGTGGCTGCCACCCACATGACCCAACCAGGGTCGGGGACAAATTGCAACCGAGGCACATGCCCTTAGCGGGAACCGAACCCGGGTCTCTCTGGACCGCAGGCCGACACTCTAACCGCTTAGCCAAACTGGCCAGGGCCGGTCATTTTCTTTAAGTAAATATTTTAAATGGAGAAGGATATACATAAGAGAAATATTTTTATTTTCTTTAAATGGATATTTTGTGAAAGAATTGATGATGCAAGTCTGCGATTTTTGTTGATGTGATTTTACCAGCGCAGAGTTTTCAGTAGTTCTTACTCTTCTGGTGGAACATAAATATTTTTTTGGTTTCTTACACTCTACGAGATATATCGTTTTTCCCCCTAAAAATTAAACTTGGGGCCTGGGGTCATGAATTCTAAATGTAATCCCGAGTTTTTCAAAACATTATTTATATTTAAAAAGCTAAAATGTTGGAATTTTTTTTTCTTTGAGGGGGAGTATTAAAAAATTTAATCTTGGCTTTTAGAGTCTTTTTACCTGTATTCCTGGAATTTTACTAGCAGGGACTCATCACATGACCTTTGACCTCATTTGCCCTTATTCAGTGAATTGGCTATCCATTGAGTTGGAACTTCGGAGATGTGGCAATGAGCTCTGGTCAGGGATCGACAGCCAGGGGAAAGGTCTGAATCTCTGCTCTGCTCCTGCCTGGCTGTGTAGCCTGGGCGAGTCCCGGGCCCTGATGGAACAGTCTCTAAGTGGAAGGACTTGGACCAGATCCACGATTTTCCTGGGGACTGGGCTCTGTGAGAAGGTTGTGTGTGTATACGTGTTTATGAAGATCTTTGGTGCAGGGAGTATGTGTTATTTGAGATTGCACAGTACTGTATTTTTTATTTGAAAAAAATCTATTTGTGGTTTTTTTCTTAAACAAGTGGCATAGTGTGAAGCACCATAGGATCTTGGCTGGTTAGCACAGGTGGGACACATGTGCACTAACAGTTAGTGTGGCAAGTTCCAATATCTGGTGAGTGCTGTGTGCTGGGTCTCACACACACACACACACGCACACGCACATGTACACAGACATACCTATATACATATATTCATTCTCGTTTAAACCTCACAAACCCCTAGAAGATCTGCTGTACCGTTGTCATATGAGCAGACAGAGCAGGAAGGTGGAGTATTTTGCTCACGGTCATCACACCAGTGTGTGGCAAACCAGCCGAGCCTGCTAGGCTGGCCACCTCTGTCTTCACAGTCTTGTATGAATCAAGATCAACTGTATCTGTGTTTTACCTTCTGAAAAAAAAAAGGTTTATAATATGTGTAACCGGTATGAACTTTCCCCTCAATCCTCAGGTAAAAAAACACACACGCACAAAGAGCCCCCACCTATTTTTGTCTAAATGCAATTAAATTTGGCTCAGAGTTCTACTTGCAGACTGATGAGTGGTTCAGCACCAGTAGTTACTGGGGGCTTCCTTCCCCACCCACAAAATGTGGCTGTTCCTTCCACACTCAGCTTGGCCCCCGTGATCTCCCTGGGGCTGCTGAGGCTGAGTTTCAAGTGTTGGCCCCCAGGCACCCCGTGTCCCGCAGAGGGTCACCTTGCCCTGCCAGGGAGCCACACAGACAGAGTCTGGAGCACAGACACAGAGCTTTTCTGACAGGAAGGGAAGTCTACTTTTCATTCTTCCATTATGATCTTTTAAACAAATGTTATTGTTGAAAGTATTACAGACGTTCTCCCTTTCCTTCCCCATTGACCCCTTCTAACCTGCTACTGCCTCCCCACCAGCCTTCACCACACTATTGTCTGTGCCCACGGGTTGTGCATGTATGCCTATAGGCTCTTGGTTCATCTCTCTTTCATTATACTCTTACAGGGAAACAGTTAATTTCTCTACCAAAGTATCCTCTTGCCTGTAGATAGCAGCAAGGTAACACGACCCGAAGCAGGTCTGCCCTTGGTGCCCTGTCCAGGCTTCTGGTGAAAGACCCGGGGACAAACCAGATGACTCAGTTCCTTACTTTCCTGGCCTGTGGGACGCTGGGTAACTGAACTGAATTCTTTAACCTCGGCTTGTGTTTTTATAAAATGGGGATAATAATAGCTTCTAGCCCACAGAGGGTCCTGAGGGATCAGCTTTTATAAGGACACTCATTTGGAGAATGACAACAAGGCCAGCCAAGCTGGAGTGGACAGTGTGTGTGGGTTGGGGTTCAGTGGGGAGAGGCTGGGAGTGTGGTGTAAACCCCACTTTGCAGAGATTAGGCTCCCATTGGCCTTCTTTCCAGTTGATTTATTAACTGGAGTTTGTGTTCTGCCTCAGATTGTACCAGAATCCCTCTGATGAGTTCCCCTTTGGCCTATTTAGGACTGGACCGACTTTGAGTGGAGCTTCTGGATGGAGTGGGGGAAGCAGCGGCTGGTGTGGCTTCTCCTTGGCCACCTGGCTGTGTCGCAAATGGCCAACCAGATTGCAAGGAAGGTATGACTATGGGCACCATTTCCTTTTAAGCCTCTTTCTCCTTTGCTTTTTGTGACAAAAGGGTCCGAAGCTAAGCAAGAATCAGTGGACATGGCTGTTAGCTTTGGAAGCTGGAAAAGATGAGAACGGATCGTTAACAATCAATCAGACATTTGAGATACAGGGGTAATACGTTCTTATCCTACATTTACTTCCCACAAGTTATTTTTCAAACCAATGACTGTAAAGGTTTCAAAGTAAAACTGTAGTCAGCACGGATGAATTTCTGGATCACGACACTGAGCTAATCGGTACATTGCTGAGGAATCTCTATCAGGTATGATCCCAGGTATGCAAAGCTCAGAAGTGTGCAAACTAAAATCGCCCATGCAAATTTACAAAGAGAGGTAAGATAATAAAAAATTAATATAAAACTCAGGAAAGTGGTCACAGCTGGTTGGGGAGGGACGTAGATTAAACCAGGGCAGAAGCCCTCCCCAGACTTTGCCAGGTGCGTTAGGTTGGTCTCCTTTGCTGGTTGGACCCAACTGGTTGGTCTCCTTTGCTTCTCTCTTGTTCTTGCTACTTCTTATTTGCTCCTCATAGATCGGTGTTTCTCTAGCTTTCTTCATTTTTACCCCACACCAGGAGACTTTTTAGCTATTTTTTCCTAATTGTCACTTTTCTATGATTTTTTTTGGGGGGGGGGGTACATGCCCCTAGCGGGAACCAAACCCGGGACTCTCTGGTCCGCAGGCCAATGCTCCAACCGCTGAGCCAAACTGACCAGGGTTTCTCTATGACTTTAATCACGGCTATACGGACTGTCTGTTCATATACTGTATGCATGCCTGTGCAGAGTACTTTAGTCTTCTCTCCAAGAACCAATTCCCTGCTCTGTTGGAGGAGATACAACCCCCATTGAGAATTGGAATGTAGACAAACTCTGTGTTCTTGGCTGGATGCTTTCCAAACTTCTTCAGTTGTCACTCCTACTTTGCCCTTGCCATCCTCGGAAATCTGCCCGAGTTAGGTATAGATGTCCCTCCATTTCATTCGCTTGCACCTTTGAGCTAAGGCTCTTGGCGTCTTCGAGCCAAGGCAGTACTCGGCCACGGGGTTAGAAGCACGTGGCCGACTCCCAGCTTTGCAGGTTTTCAGCGCGTTAGTTAATCCCTTCGAGTTCGCTTCCTCACTTGTGCAACCGGGATGGTAGCCCTTGCCTCCTGGGGTGGTGCTGAGGGTCGATGTTTTCTCGGTTATGCTTGCATCTGATGAAAGCCAAGTGAGTGGTGGCTGCTGCGGTCTTCTGCTGGTGGTTAGCATGCCCTGAGCCTGTGGCCCGAGTGTCCGGGGAGCAGTCCCCTCCACGGTGCTCAAGAAAGGAGACGCCGGTCTCAAGATCCCAAACACCTCCAAGGGCAGAGACTGTCTGTGCGGTCACACCCACATTCCTCTCATGACTGTCTTCCTCCGACCCCGACTCAAGTATGTGTTGGGTCCTGGGGGAAGGGATTGGGAGACACGGCCCCTTCCTTTGGAGGGGTGAGTGAGAAGTTACACAGGAGACGAAACCCTGACCTCAGTCCTGGACCTGATGTGGCAGTGAGTTGGGTGCCTGGGGGAAGGAGTGGGCCACATCTGCCCGGGGTGACAGGGGAGGCCTCCGAGGCTGTGGCTTGAAGGTAGTCGAGTTGTTTGATTTCTCAGCCCTGTACCACATTCCCAGGCATGGTGGACAGGTGGACCTGCCTTCTTACCTGCAGAGCAGTCTCATCCAGAGTCAGTAGGAGGTGGCTTGGTGTTGTTCTTGGGATGGGGCAGAGTTCACAGAGTCGTGTGTGTGTGTGTGTGTGTGTGTGTGTGTCTGTCTGTCTCCCACCCCTTTGTGACCACAGGTTTGATTTGTACGACAGCTGGTGAGCCGGGCTCTGGCTGGGGCCGGGGCACAGTGCTGCCTTTGTTGGAGTCTGCTTGACCCTCACATAGTATGAACCACAGCTTTGGCCCCGTTAGCTCTGCGCTTTCAGCACCTGGGCTGTGTGTTCCAGATGGCCTGCATTCGGCGGGTGTTTCCGTGCTTGTTCGGGGTGGAAGATTTGGGCCGGGGTTCTTTGATTTCCCCATCCTTGGAGTCCTCGTGAACTGCGGACAAGGCTGTGCAGGGCCAGACGTTAGCAGCTCTTGGTGTTACTGCCCTTAGAGCCTGCAGGGTGTTTCCTGGCTCCGTGTAACATCGAGTCTCATCTCTTCCTTTACAAGCCGTGCCTCTGTCCAGAGACAGGCAGGCTATTTTCAAAGGCGTGATTTTCTTTTATTTTTTTTGCCACGACAAGTAAGAAAACTTTCCACTGAGCTCCTTGGCCAAGGTTAAAGGCCTCTTCTCTGGGCCAGGCTCTCTGGGTTTTGGTGAGACGGCATCAGAGGCCGGTGCCCTGGGAGGGAGGCCGAATAACTGGGCTTTGGCCGCCGGTGTGTTGTGATTGGGTTGTGCGTGGGGCGGGTCAGACAGTTCCTCCTTTCTTGAACACCCCTGTGGCCTCACCACCACCTGAGACATTGTGTTCCCTGCCCTGCATGGATGCTTTGAGAAGGCCGGCCTGGTGTGGGGCCGAGCGGGGTGCTGTTACTAACCACAGGGCAGTTTCGCTGCACCTCTGACAGGCAGAGCCCGCATCGTTAGCACTGGGCCCGCTGGCCAAGCTCCCTGGCCACGGGACTGAGAAGCATGTGGCGGAGATGAGTCACTAACCTCTGGAGGACTGCGGGGAACAGCGCTCCCTGCCAGCTCGTTGCCGAAACCACAACCTAATAGGAATCTCAGACACTAATGGTTTTCCTGGAACCAGACTCGTCCACCTCCATCGGGGCAGGTCTAGGGAGGGATGAAGTCTGCTCTGCAGGGCCCACGGCCTCTGCTCCCGGGACAGGCAGGCTGGGACGGGGTTGTCAGGACGCTGGCTTGCTTTCTGTGCTCCCTGTTTGTTTGTGCAGACACAGAGTTGTATTTTGCAGCAGCAGCTCCCCTTGATTTTGTGGTATGTAATAAATTATGCCATGCGTAAGGACTATTGATGGACTCCTTGTATTTATTTCTCGAACAGTGCCCCACAGAGTGGATTGAGGGCAGATGTGGGGGATTAATACGCAGCAAAGTCTGGTTGCCAACAGGAGTGTCCGCCGAGCCTTTACATTTCGTTCCTCCTGACAGACAAGACAGTGAGGGAGACCACTCAGGCACAGCCGATTACCAGTCCGTGTCCACTGCCCAGAAAGAGGAAGAAAAGTAGAGGTGGTGTGAGAGGGGCATTGCCATCTTCCTGTGGCTGGGTCTTGACTCCCTGGGGAGAGCTGAAGACTAGATTTGCAAAAGAAAGGCAGGCAGTCCATCGTCTTTTCTCAGGGGTGCTGGTTTCAGCCTCGGAACTGTGCCAGCTCAACTGGCTTGTGGCCAGAAGACCTCACAGCATGATGGGCAGCAGCTCTAGCCCAGAGGTCTGCACTCAGAGGGGGATGCCTGCGCCCCGCCGGCTGCGAACTGCTAGAGACCCCGACGTAAAAGACCCCGTGGGTGGAAACATGCAGCAGTGAGATGGGGAAGGCCCCCTTCTAGTGCAGATGCCTTGGCAAAGCGGCCTTTGTTTATAAGGGGTTAAGTGGTCAAATAGAGACTTTGGAAACATTGTGGACCAAAAAGCCCCAAATGTTGGTTCTAATTTCTTCTTATGTCTTAGTTGTAACTACCAGGTTAAATCCCAAGACTTGGGGAGGCATATCCATCCATCCATCCATCCATCCATCCATCCATCCATCCATCCTTCCATCCTTCCATCCACCCCTACTCCCTTTTTTCCATCCATCCATCCATCCATCCATCCATCCATCCATAATTTATGAATCACTTGCTGTATGCTAGTGTAAGCCCTGTTGGATTCTGGGCTTGCCTTATTATAATATGCACAAGGCAGGATATTAGCCTTCTAAGGAAGGCTATCAAGTGGAGAGTCAGTTCCCCCTTCCCCGTTTTGAGAAATGGCTCCGTGCAAACAGGGAGCAGTGTAAACACAGGGAAGGCTGCCCACCCAATTCAGTCTGGGCAGTAAGCACTGTGTCCCGTCAGAAAGGCCACCGTGTTCTCCGTCTGGCTGTATCTGTACTACCACAAAAACTGAATACAGTTTTTTCCTTAATGATCAATTTTTAAAAAATTGCTCCTCTTCCCCTGCCTTCCTTTTTATCTTTATTAGAAACTGAAGAGCCTGGAATAAAGGGGGTTAAGGAGGTTGGGATAGTTCTGATGAACTTTGCATCCAGCTGGATGTCAAGTTCAACTTGTCTTATTCTCGAGCTTCAGCATGCTCATGCTTTGATATCCTTTAAAAGAGCGTTGTGAATGCAAATTAAAGCCCAGTGAGATACCCCTGCACACCTACCAGAGTGGCTCAGCTGTAACACAGTAACAATACCAAATGCTGGTGAAGTTCCGGATGAACTGGGTCACTCATACATTGCTGGGGGGCAGTGTAAGGTGGCCACTCTGGAAAACTGGACTATCTTATAGAACCAAACACGCAACCCGCAAGTTCACACTTGGGCATTCATTCCAGAGACGTGATCACTTATTGTTACACAAAACCTGAACACAGATGTTCATGTCAGCTTTATTTATAATAGCCCCACGCTGGAAATAGTCCAGATGTCCTTCAGCAGGGGAATGGTTAAACAGATGGTGGCACATCCGTGTCATGGAGTACTGCACAGCAACAGGGAAGCAAAGCGTTGGGACCTGCAGCAACTTGGATGAATCTCCAGGGAATTCTGCTCAGTGGGGAAAGCTAAATCCCAAAGATTGCATGATGCATCATTTTTATTTTTATTTTTTGGTACGTGCCCCTAGCGGGAACCGAACCTGGCACTCTGTGGTCCTCAGGCCGACGCTCCAACCGCTGAGCCAAACCGGCCAGGGCCACGTGCCGCATCATTTTGAAATGAGGCATGGAAGGCTACTCCTGCTCTATCAGGATTTTAGTGGAGTTTTGAGGATGGGATTCTAATCACATTTTTATAGACAAAGGAGGAACATCAGTGTTTTATAGGTGTTTCTTTGGCATTGTTCACATCTTCTCATCACCTGTTCTCCATGAATGTACATAGTAGGGTCGCCTTTACCCATCGGGGAGAATGAATGGGCGGTGTGAGGGTTAGTGGAGAACAGGAGGTGAACATGAGAGCATTTTCTGTGAAGTTGTGAACAGAACCACATCAAATGTCTGCTTGTACTGTTTGGCAGGAGGAAGCAGGGGGTGAGAACCTGGGGCAAGCTCGTGTGCCCCCAAGGTAGCTTTGGTGAGCACAGTTCAACTCGGCAGAGAATCTTGTCAAGCAGTTGGGGTGTGCACAGCACTATCAAGAATTTCCTGAAGCTTCGTTCGGCTTTTCCAAGTTGAAACGGCGTAAGCCTGCAGTGAAGTTCCCGAACAGATCCCAGAAAACAGGTTTTTTTCCAAATGGATCAAATAACACTTAATAAAAAGGAAGCTGTATGTGTGTGTATGCGTGTAGCAAGTGACAAATCCTGTAGGCCGTGTCGGAAAAGAACCTTGTTCTTTTCATTTGTTGGAACTACTTCTTAAAATAGTCTCTGGCAACTTTATTCCTTAAGCTTGCATTCTGCCCAGAGGTGAGTGTTTGGGGGAAAGTTTGAGGCAAATGTGTGGGCTGTTTTCTGTGGGTAGTAGGATGGAAAAATAGTAAAAATGAACTGCAGGTTTCTCTGATTTTCTTGGAACTTAAAAGTGGCTGACATAGTCGCTCATTTAAAATGTTCCTTCTTGGGCAGGAGTATAGGTTGGGGAAAAATTGTACTTCAGCAATGTTTTGGAAGAGTTAGCATCTCAGGATGGGATTTACAACTTATAGTCCCTTAAAGAAGTCTTTTTTTTTTTCTTTTTTTTTTACAAGAAGACATTCCTGGAAACCATATTTTAAAAATGCACACTGAAAAGAACAGCATATTTCCCTAAAATTTCTTCGGTACTTACTATGTATGCGGACACTGTTGTAAGCATTTTACATGAATTACCTACTAAATCCTCACAACCTTCTGAAGTAGATACTGGTATTATCCTAATTTTATATACAAAAAAAAAAAAAAAAGCCTGAGGCACAGCTAGTTAATGGGGACGCTAGGATTTATTTTAGGCAGTTGGACGTCAAAGCTTGAGTAATTACACCACCATGATGTGTTGCCTCTCAAACAACATGAGAACATTATTGTGGTTTTAAGTAAGCCAGACATGACCAAGAGTACAACATATGAGCAAAGACATGTTAATTTATCTATTTAGTTATTCAGTGTCAATCGCTATAAAACACGATCATTAAATATATTTTCTGATTCGCCTAAAATGAGACTGAATGTTTTAATCAGGTTGACTAATGCAAAGGCCTTCACACCACAGAAAGCAGGTACGATGCACTTTTTCAGTGACATAAATTTGACTAAACAATGTGCTAATAAAATAAAAATATAATTAGATATTTAATTCTAAATCTGTGGTTTAGACTTTAAACGCCATTTATGGTTTGGATGGCCCGGATTTCTCAATAAGATGCCCGAGAAATGTTGGCCAGTACTTTCCTTCACCTTCATTGTAGCAGGACAGTGTGTGCAGGGGGTCACTAAGCATCAGCTTCTCATATGCAGACCCTTCGATAACAATGCCCCTTAGCTCACCTTATCTCCTCTCCTCTCTCCCTCCCTCTGGGTCCCTCTCACGGGTCCGCCGTCCACAGCACAGACCCTGGATCCTCACCGCCTACGGAATGTGGGCCTGCTGGTGTGTGCTGGGGGCCCCGGGGACTGCCATGATCTTCCTCCACACCACCATCTCCTTCTGCGTTGCCCAGTTCCGGTCACTGTTCCTGTCATGGCTCTGTTCTCTCCTCCTGCTCTCCACGCTGAGGCTGCAAGGTGTGGAGGAAATTAAGGTAAGTGTCTCCATTTACCACGGGGAAGGAGAAGGTCCCTTTGGCGGTGCCCCCAGGAGGTAACCTGTGTTTTCAGGCAAGTCCACTGAAGAACTGTGGTGGGGCTCCTCCTGGTGGCCATGTGGGGTTGATGCACGCGAACGCTGGTGTTGAATTCTGCGGTTTTGTCTCTCGCAGCCGACTATGTCAGCCCTCTGGAGCAGCTCCGGGCTAACCTTGTACCTCTTCTCCCAGGTTGGGTGGGCGTGGATGTCGGCACAGATCACAGGAACAGAGGTCAGGACTAAAGAGAAAAGAAAGCACTAGTCCCCTGTGCATTTAATAACATGTCATCTATAGAGTACTGTACAATTTATAGGAAACTCTCCCATTCCTTATCCCATCCGGTGCCCACAACAGTCCCTGAGACAGAGAAGGCAAGTACTTCTTTGCACAGAAAATGTTGGGACATATTCCTTAAATCACTGTGGAACTGGAACTCCGGTGGTGTCTATTTTTGTTAATTTGTTCATTCATTCATTCATTCACTCATTCATTGATTCACGGGAAAGAATGTGATGGGAAAGATGAACTAACTAGTGGACAACCTGTGTGACATTTACAAGCCTCTCTCTGTCCTTAGAACCATGGAGGTGCTGTCAAAGCGTCCACTGGGTTGTGGCTCACCTCCCGGTTGCCCACTGGATGTATCTGACAGGTGCTTATTCGAGAAAATCTTCATTACGTTGCCTCAGGCTTAACGCTGAGTCAATGGCTGACGTTAGAGACACTCTTCTGCCCACTGCTCATTAACTGCTTGTTTTGATTTTAAAACGTGACATTTACCCGCGGAGATTTATTTACCTGCTCATCAGTGGTCCTCGACTCCCTTTATGGTACAAGCTGCTCTACTCGCGGAAGAAGTCTCCTTTTCCGGAGACTGGACGATACCGCTCCTTGCCGCTCACAGGCTGTTCTCTCCTGGTGGCTTTGCAGAGAGGGTGGTACAAGACAGAAAACGAGTACTACCTGCTGCAGTTCACGCTGACCGTCCGCTGCCTGTACTACACCAGCTTCAGCCTCGAGCTCTGCTGGCAGCAGCTGCCCTGTGGGCGCACCTTCTACTCCCTGCCCTGGATGATGGCCTACGTGTTCTATTACCCAGTCTTCCACAACGGGCCCATCCTCAGCTTCCCGGACTTCATCAGGCAGGTGGGTCCCGGGGACTGGATTGGGGCTTGGTGGACTAAGCCTCTGTCTTTGTTGCCATGTTCGTGCGCGTGACTTCTGAGTGTTTTCATTCAGGGGTGCCCACCCATTAAAATCACATACTATTGTCTTGATTTTTTTTTTTGACATAATAAATACTTTAGGAAAATCAACCTTTAAAATAGAGCTCGACCTGTCCAGGCCCTGGTTCTCAGTGGACTGTAGCAGCCAGGATTAACTGCGAGGGACTCGCCGGGAACCCTGCAGGGCAGTCCCAGGGAGAGACAGACCAGGTTTCTCGTGCCATTGCTTCAAGTAGAAGGAGAAACTGTCTGAGCTGTTGGCTGGCAACTAGTATGCTCCCTTTTACTTTTATACACGGCCATAGCCTAGGAATTGTTCAGGGCGATTCAGGTGGGAAGATGGGCCGAGTTGAAGGGAGTTGGAAGGCGACAGTGTGTTTTTGGGTCTGGGTGCCTGTTTCTGCCCAGGACCCTGCGTGCCCTGTCTGGACAGCGGTCTGGTCTGAAGCTCATGTCAAGCTGCCGTTATTATTCCCACCTCATTCTTCCTCCCACTCAGATTTTTTTTTTCACATTCCACAGCTAGCCTCATGGAACATGTTTATGAAATTAATTCATTTTAGTGTTAGTAACTGGAAATACCTAAAATGGTGTTTCTTAGGGATAGTTCTACCTCCTACAACGAAAACAGTATTCTGAGTGAGGTACGGAGAATAATACGCATGCATACACAGTACATACCAATACCTGCAGTACATATATACACACAGAGAACACACATGCACACAGTACACACATGTGCAAGCACACACACACATACACACACACACACCTAGAAGTATAGTTTAAAATGCAGAACCAGCCCTGGCTGGTTTGTCTCAGCAGTTAGAGCGTCGGCCTGCGGACCAATGAGTCGTGGGTTCAATTCCAGTCAAGGGCATGTACCTTGGTTGTGGTTCATCCCTGGCTCTGGTTGGGTCGTGTGACACAGAGGCAGCCAGTCAATGTGGCTCTGTCACATCGATGTCTCTCTCTCTCTCTCCCTCCCTCCCACTCTATCTGATGATAAATAGAAAAATGTCCTTGGGTGAGAAATTAAAAAAGAAAAGTGCAGAGCCAATGTTGAACATTTTCAGAGGACAGCATGAAATGTGCCCCCTGGAAAAGTTGGAGGGTTCTCAGGAATCCCTTAATTCCATCGCAAACATTCCACTAAGTTAGGCATGGTACTAAAAAATATATTTGTGCATTATAACAATAATGTCATGTTTTAAAATTGCCAGTGACATTATTTAACATTTTCCCCATCTGCACATCTTTAAGTGAGATTGGTATTCTAGGCAGATATGTGTTTATCGTATGGTTTTGCATACCTCTGTTTGGGTTCCATAGGATCATTCTCCTGCCCTGAAGTGATTTTAAATCTGTGTTTGAAAATTATGTTTAAAATTGCTGTGTAAAAGACAGAGGTGGGTAGCGATGGCAGCCGATCTTCTGACTCTGGTTCTCAAAGTATGATCCCTGGACCAGCGGCACTAGGACCACCGGGGAACTTGTTAGCTGCAGATGCTCAGCCCCCTCTCCCCCCAGGCCTGCTGAATCAGAAAGTCTGGGGTGGGCCCAGCCATGTGGTTTCACAGGTCCTCTAGGTGAGTCTGATACATCTAGAGGTTGGAACCACTCTCCTGAGCTCCTCAGAAGATTAGGGGTACAGGGTGGGGTTTTGTGGGTACAGTGTAGGGTGGGTTCAGGCTCTCCGAGTTGTCTCTTTTATAATCTCCTCATCCTTGTGAGTTTTGAATTCTTCCCAACATTGCAGCCAATATCTTTTGGACTAAACATCCACACATGCCCCCCCACACCTCTCTGAAGACAGATAGTAATTCCCAGAGAAACATGGACTCAATCCATTAAGAGGAAACATTATTTTCCTACCTGAAAATTGAGGGGATTTGCCCTATGGGATGTGCCGTTTGTTATTATGCAAATCATCATTCTTTTCCTTGATCATCTCCCTCTCTGAAATCACCCCAAGGGGTCTGGCAGGAACACAGGAGGCCCACTGCGGGTCCTGTGTCTGCTCCGTGGACGTGAGTTTTGAGGTTACTGCTCACCTACACTCAGCCGAGGGCACCCATTCTCTCGAGTTTCATTCTGGGGAAGAGAAGGGCGGGTGTCTCCCCACAGGGACTCAGGTATGGAGCCTGGGTGGCATCGGTGTCCTCTCTGTCTTTTCTACCCCTTTCAAATTGGTAGCGATTTCTGAAAGCAGGGAACTCGGAAAGACAAGTCGAAACCTTTGTCTGTGGTCTGGGAAGATTGATAGAAAAGTTGGTCTAGAAAAGGCAAAATGTTTAGTCAGCTACAGGGCACATGAAAACACACCCAGGAAGTATCTGCAGTTGCCAAAGGTGCCTATGGGGCACTTACCTCTGGGGAGAAAGGTGGGCTGCAAAGGGGGCAGTTGAACTAGGAAGCTAGTCCAGGCTGGAAGGAGTCTTTCAAAGAGGCCAAGAAGGGAACGGTGGGCCAGGGAGGAAGAACGCTAACTGGAAGGGCTTGTGCGCAAGGCTTGCTCTGGACAAGTGTTTGAGTGAGTGAATACATGCCTTTAGCTAGAAGGACTTGTAACATTGAAATTCCAGGAGCGCAGACTCATGTTTATACTGACGAACTTCTGAGAGCAGGAGAATGAGGCTGTGCCAGCAGGGGGCAGCAGAGCCCCACCTGGAAACCAACCCAGGACCGAAAAGCAGCAGCCGGCTGGGCATCTGCACATTCCCATTGCTAAATGGCCGTGCTGGGCAAACCCTTGGGAGAATGTACCTTTCGCCTATTTTTTTTTCTAGCATGTAGATTTACACACCAGACGAGGGGAGTGTGGAAGAGGTGTCCTCTGTAATGTAAGGTAGAGGAATTTGTACACGATCATGAACAGGTAAAATTTGCCTGTTAGAAGGGCTCAGTGCCCTCACTCAGAGTCATCTCGATGGCATTTGGAGTTGCAGGAACATGGGCTTCGTTTATTTTCTCCCATGGTTCTGTGGAGTTTGGATACTGAGCTTGGTGTGAAGTGGGGGGCCAAGGGGCCTGGGGAAAGGCAGGACATGCTGTGTGTTTGCTTAGCCTGGAGCCTGGGCCACCACCTCTTACTCTGAACAGGTGGAATGGTTCACTGGGGGGCTGGTGTGGGGGAGGATGGTGGGCCTCAGGGTGGTGGGACTGGGGCGGGGGGCTTGTCCTGGCTGAAGCTGTGCTCCTGCCCCGAGGATGGAGCCAGTGCTCAAATAGGGAACTGCAGGTGGCTAAGAGCAGGGACTCTGGAACCCACCCCCCCTATAGGGTTTGAATCCCTCCCTGCCATGCTTTGGCTTGAGAGTGTTTGGTGAGTTACTTACCTTATTTGTGACTCAGTTTCCTTATCAGTAAAATGGGAAGAACAGTAGTACCTCCCTCACAGGACTGTTACAGGGATTACAGGAGTTTGTACCGGTGATGTGGCTTGACACCTAATGCTATTATCACTGCTACTGTTAGCCAGAAAAGCGCCTGGCAATTCTGGGGTAAGTTTAGGCCAGAACGGAGACCCTGGGTGTCCAGTCTCGTGGGTGGGTGCAGCAGCAGGAGATTCTGGGCAGTGGCCATGCCAGCCTCAGAGGAGGTTAGTGTGCTGGCTCCGTCTCCATGGAGAGACCCAGGCAGTTGCCACAGAGGGGAGTCCCACCCCCCAAGTGGCTGGGGCTGGCAAGAGCCGAAAAGGCAGTCAGTGTCCCGGACAGACTGCTCAGGGTCTGGATGGGCTTTGCTTCTAGCATCTACCTGGAATCATACAGACTCTGATAAATGATACCAATAGCACTCGCTCCAGGCCAGGTTTTGCATGTTGTAACTGATTTCATCCTCACCACAGCCCTAGTAGAGAGATACTGTTGCTATCACCGCAGATGGTCATGTGGAGGCAAAGAGGCTAATGGCATGCAGAGTGGGGTGGAAGGAATACAGGTGCGAGCCTTTTCATGCCAACTTGGTGAGTGCCCAGGAGTCAGAGAGAAGGTGCAGCGTGGCTTGCGGACATGTGGGTCCGGAGGCTCAAGCCGGCCAGTCCCAGTCCTGTGGCAGCAGCACCCACTGCAGCTGGCCTGGCAGAGACACTGTATTGCCCACCATGGTCTGAATGACGGGGGAGGAGGCAGCGAGGGTCTGATTAGGAAACGGCTTGTTGGGAGTAAAGGGATGGTGTGTGACCGCTGACTGGACGGAAGCTCCCCCACCACAAAGGAACAAGCTCCAACTCCGATGCCCTTGGCCCAAACACAGATGTTGGAGCAGAGGGGGCGCAGGTGGACAGATGGTTCCAGGGAAGGCCTTGGTTTGTGCTCTCACACACTTACATTATCACTGTGCGAAGGAAAGGAACTTTCCCTCCTTGAAAACTGTCATCTTTAATCATCAGAATATCTTTAAAAGCCTTTGGTATTTCTTTTTATGCAATTTGCATGAAATGAGGTTTAAAAATATAATCTGCTTTAAAATGCACTTTGCAGACGAGTTAGTGTGTGTATGTTTTTTTAGTGGTGCCTTAAATGCCCATTGATGGCAGTTTCCAGTGGTCTCAAGGTTGGCACTGCCCTAGGCTGGAAATGTCTTGAATGAACAGACCAGAGAGCAAGCCAGCTCATCAGGTGAACTGTGCTCCGTACGTCTGTTCTTGCAGGGTCGATGGGGACTAAGGTGAAATTTTTAAAAATAAAAAGCAGTTTATTAGATCGAAGGTAGAAACCGACTGCCATAGTGACCTGACTCTAAAGTAAACCCAAGAATCACCTTTTCATTCTGATCCCCACCGGAGTACATGTTTTATTGTTTTTAAAGTTTTATTTTATTGATTTTTAGAGAGAGAGAGAGAGAAGCATCAATGTGAGAAACATCAATTGGTTGCCTCCTGCACACTCCCCAGCCAGGGACTGAACCCCCTTCCTAGGTAAGTGCCTTGACCGGGACTCGAACCGCTGTCTTTTGGTGTCCAGGACGATGCCCGCTCCAATCAACTGGGCCAGCCGTCCAGGGCAATAACCACTTTTTTTTGGAAAGGTAAAAGCAAATAGAATGGAAAACTGGATTGCTCTCCTGCTGCGTTTACTTGTAAGTTAAGGGACAGACATTGAGGTTACCCGAATGAGGAGGCAACCAGCGTCCAAAGGGAGCGCTGTAGAGGGGAGTCCCTCTGGCCCAGTGCAGGCACGAAATTACCTTCCAGGACCTGGTGGGGAAGCTTTGCCCCGAGAGCAGGTACGTCATCACCGAGAAGCCAGCCAGCTACAAAATGCACACGATGTTTCTTCTTCATCGTGGTGTTTGTCATGGGACTGCACGCTGGGTCGCTGACCAGGAGAACTCTTCAAGGCCGTTACAGTGACTGTTTCCCAATGAGCAGGTCGGTGTGCTGGGCGCATTGTCTTCCTGAGCGGAACCGTGGAACTCTAAAGGAAAAAGAAAGTTCCCGTTAGCATGAGCAGTTTACATTACAAGGTGAAATCATCCTCAGTGTAACTAACCAAGCAGGTGGCAGAAGGCAGAAGTCCCCTTGTGCAGATTGCCCCATGCCCCTGAGCCAGAGTTTCTTAGGCCGGCCGGCTTCGCGCTGGAAGAGGGCATCTGGAGAAAGTGGTAGATCGCCTGTCAAGGCGGAATAAAAGCAAATCCGCTGGCGTGCAGTTCTGCGGTCGCCTCTAGGGGGAGTGCCTGTCACTCCTCTGCCAGCACAGGCACCCCCAGGCCCTGATGTCACTGGAGCCTGGAAGCTGAGAAAGTGCCTCAGGACCCCTCCCCCAGGAATGGCCTTCCGTGCTGCTGTGGTGGTGTAAGCCCTCACTGTCAAGGGCTGACTCGGGTCCCTTGCCCCTCAGCAGATGTTTGCAGACACCCCTTTGTGTGCCCTCCCGCCTCTGCATTTCAAGGTGGCCTTGGGTCTCATGAACTGTCAGCGTCAGGCCCCGAAGGCGTCCACGCTCCCTCTTGCTTTCCTGTTGGTCTAGTGGTGTAAGGCTGGACTCGAACTCACTTCCAGTTTTACAGCGCGCGCCTGCATTTCAGAGTCTCTGTGTTTTAAACTTCCGTGCGTCCCCAAGCAGCGGGCAGCGAGGTGAGACCGCAGAACCAGGCCACCTGGGCAGGACTCTGATTTTTGTGGGTCTGTATTGTCCACAGACACTGAGTTTGTCTATATCTATGAATAGTCAGCACATCTCTCTGTCACCTTTGATGTCTGGCTTGGAATCGCCTCCCAGTTGTGCCCCGTGGCTGGCATCTGGGGCGCCACGGGGGGCGGAGGTGAAGCCGAAGAACGGACAGTACGCGGCACGTGATTATGAGACATCGAGCACCAGTTGTCCAGCGCCTTTTAAATGTAGATGCTGCACTTGGTGCTTTGCTTATTACATTTAATCGTCACAGCAAATTTTATTTTATTTTATGTACGAGGGAACCAAGCCTCAGAGAGGATAAGTAACTTGCTCAGGATCACACAGCTGTGTTGTTTGTGCTAGAATCTAATCCCGATTTTGTTTGATTCTAAGGTCCATGTTCTTAGCGATGACACTGTACTACCTGCTAAGCAAGAGACAGTGCCATGTACGGTCCCTGTTTGTGTTTCCTCTGCCTTGTTTCAAAAGCAACTTAAGCAAAGATGACACCCCCACACCTAACTGTCCCCTTGTTCTCAGGCTCCGTCTGTCATTCTGCTTTTCTCTTACCGGTCCTGTGCCCCTTCTGACTTGGCCCTACTTTTACCAGCCTTAGCTGTGCGTGGGTGATGGGTGAAGACAGGCAGGGTGACCCTGAACCCGAAGAGACCCCCGAGCCCCAGGTTTGTGCAGGGCTGTTGCTGGCAGGAAGCTCTGCGGAACCCGCCTTGGCTCCTGGCACTAGGCTAGCCGACGCCACCCTAGTCTTACCCCGGGGCGCAGTTTTCAGGCTCAGGTTGGGCATTTTTTACCCAAGGCAAACGAAACCAACCCTCTTGTCGTAGATACGGCGATACTGTGTGTGGGTGGTTTATTAAACCAGTCTTGGGGACTGTTTGAAAGGCTCAAGAGACAGAGGGGCAGCCTGATGCCTTCTTTATTCCCCTGCAGATGCAGCAGCGGGAGCGCTGCCCGCTGCGGGTCAGCCTCGCCGTCCTGGCCCGGGGGCTGGGCCACCTGCTGCGCTGCTGGTACCTGGCGGAGCTGATGGTGCACCTCATGTACATGCACGCCATCTACAGCAGCGCCCCGCTCCTGAGCGCCGTCTCCTGCTGGACCTTGGGTGAGTGTGCGGGTCGCCGTCGGAACCAACGTGAAGAGCTCGCGTCAGAGCGACGCTGGACTGGGGGCAGGTGGGGGTGCGGTTGTCTTGAGCAACCCCCACCCCTTTTTTAAACCTCGTCCCTCTTGCGGCCAAGATGGCACACGTGCGAGGTGGCAGGTGGCGGCGAGGGCTGTGCTTTGTGGTCTGGGAACCCAGGATGGCCGCAGTCCTTTTCAGAATGGAATTCGAGCTTCGCTGGGGCTGCCCCTGTCTGGTGGGGCCGCACAGCGCTGGGCAGGAGAGGGCGGGAGGTGCCCAGGGCAGCCTCTGGGCTCCTGCTAAGAGGCAGTGCTCCGGGACTGAGTTGTTCGGCTCTATCCTTGTTGTTCTTGCGAGCAGAAGGAGAAGAGTATACATATGAGCTTTATCCTCAGACATGCATTCGAATCTCAGCTCCACCTGCCGCTAGGGCAGCCTTTGGCCGCTTGCTAAACCGACTCCCCCTGAGCAGAGAGCAGACTTTGTGGATTCACTGAGACCATGCAGGCGAAGGCTTAGCCCATGATGTGTCTGGTAGACAAAATTAATGGTGTGTGTAAGGCCCTGTCTTCGCCCCCTTTTCTTGCCTACCCATTTCTTTCATTTTTAATCCTCACCCAAGGACATTTTTGCATCCATCTTTGGATAGAGCAGGAAGGAGAGAGGGAGGAAGAGAGAGAGAGAAACATCGATGCGAGAGAGACACATTGAGTGGTTGCCACCCTCACGACCCCAACCGGGGCCGGGGACAAACTGCAACCGAGGTAGGTGCCCCTATGTGCAAGTGGGTGGTCTGGCGGTCATTTCCTCCGCAGGACTCTCTCTCCGGTGCAGGGCTTGTCTGCGGAGAAACCACTGTCCTTTACTCCTCGGGCCAAACAAGCAGGAGCTGTGCCCCATCCTGAACCAAATCCCCCCATTCCGTTTGCTGTCCTCTCAGGAACTCCCTGTGGTGACCGACTTGGCCCTGTGGTCTGACCTCCAGCTGCCGCCCCAGTGGGAAATGTGTGATCTTCCGGCCAGATTAATCCGTTCCTGCCGAGGGCAAGAGTACAAGCCTGGCTCCTTATCTGTTTGGTGATTTATAGATTTTTTTTTCACAAAGCAACCCTGGTTGTCCCTGCTGTCCCACATGCTTAGTCAGAGTGTTTTCAAGGAATATGCCTCTTCAGGTTGGAAAAACGCTGAGCTGCTTTGATGACAGTCTCTTCTTTCCAAACAAAGATTCTAAGGTTTTAACGATGCGATTTGACAAAGCGGAGTAGGAGCAAATGATGGTTTATCCCGATTCGAACCCCGGCTGTGCTGCGTTCAGATTCAGAGGCTGTGTCAGTTGGGGTGATTTTAACCACGGGTAACAAAGACACAACTCAAAACGAGGCGGGAGCAATAAGGCAGAGCTGTTGTCTCACACAGCTGTTACTGCTGAGCTCAGCATGGGGCGGCCAGTCCAGCGCCTCGGGAGACTCACCAGCGATTCGTTTGTGTATCTGCCACTCAGACTAACAACCAGAATCCTAGAAGCCCCTTGTCGGTACCTGCAATCCCATCACCTTCTCTCTTTTCTCCTTAAGTATATGTTCATGATTCCCTTTTTAAAAACCTTCCTTTAAAGAAAATTGAGCCTGGCCAGTGTGGCTCAGTGGGTTGAGCATTGTCTCACGGACTGAGAGGTCCTGGTTTGATTCCCGGTCAGGGCACATGCCTGGGTTGTGGGCTTGATCCCCAGTAGGGGGCGTGCAGGAGGCAGCTGATCGATGTTTCTATTTCTCTTTCCCTTCCTCTCTCTCTAAAAATATCAATAGAAACATATTTTTTAAAAATTGATTTTATTTTTAGAGCAGTTTTAGGTTTACAGCAATATCAAGAGGAAGGTACAGGGATTTCCCATCTACTCCCCATCCCTTCAGCTTCTTTCTTCAACAGCCCCCACCAGAGCAGAACATTTGTTACAACGGATGAACCTGCATTGACATGGCATTATCACCCAGAGCCCATAGTTTGTTAGGATTTACCCTTAATGTTGTACAGTCTATTCAAAAGATGTATAATGACACGTATCTACCGCTTATACACAGAACAGTTTCAAAGCCTCAGAAAACCCTCTGCGTTGTCTCTTCCTCCCTGTAGTTCTTGTCCATCTCTGATCTTTTTACCATCTCCATAGCCTTACCTTTTCTAGAATGTCATAGAGTTGGAATCATACAGTATGTAGCTTTTTCAGATTGACCGCTTTCATTTGGTAATATGCACTTAAAGTTTATCCATGTCTTTCAATGGCTTTATAACTCGTATTTTTTTAGTGCTGCATAATATTCCATGATCTGGGTGCACCACAGTTTATTTATGCATTCCCCCACTGAAGGACATTTTAGTTGATTCCAAGTTTTGCAATGATGAATAATGATGCTACAAGAATCTGTGTACAGGTTTTGTGTGAACATACGTTTTTCAACTCCTTTGGGTAAATACCAAGGAGTACAATTTCTGCATTGTAGGCTGAGAGAATGTTTATTTTTGTAAGAAACTGTCAATTGTTTTTCTAAAGTGGCTGCACCATTTTGCATTTTCACCAGCAATGAACAAGTTCCTGTGGCTTTACATCCTCAGCAGCATTTGGTGTTGTTGATGTTTTAGATTAAGGTCATTCTAATCGGTGTGTAGTAGTGTCTTGTTTTAATTTACAATTCCCTATTGACATAAGATGTGGAACATCTTATTATATGCTTATTTTTAGTGGTTGCCCTAGAGTTAGCAACATATCTACAACCAATCCAAGCACTATCTAGCACAGTACGTTGAAATAATATATTCCTAGTTCCTTCCCCCATCACTGGTGTGATTGTTGTTAATTTCATGTAAACTGTAATCATCAATACTTTGTCGCTTTTACTTAGAAAAGACTGTTATTGGTTAGATCAATTAAGAATAAGAATACTATACGCAGCAGAATTTTCACTGATACAACACCTAAGGCAACAGAAACAAAGGAAAAAATGAACACATGGGACTACATCAAACTAAAAACTTCTAAGCACAGCAAAAGAAACAACCATCAAAACGGAAAGGGATCCCATTATATGGGAGACCATAATCACCAATGATGCATCAGATAAGGGGTTAATTTCCAAAATATATAGAGTGCTCATACAACTCAACAAAAGGAAGACAAAGAACCCAATTAAAAAATGGGCAGAGGACCTAAATAGACACCTCTCCAAAAAGGACATACAAATGGCCAAGAGACATATGAAGAAATGCTCAACATCACTAATCATCAGAGAGATGCAAATTAAAACAACAATGAGGTATCACCTCACACCTGTCAGAATGGCTGCCATCAACAAATCATCAAACAATAAGTGTTGGCGAGGGTGTGGAGAAAAGGGGACTCTAGTACACTGTTGGTGGTAATGCAGACTGGTGCCGCCACTATGGAAAACAATATGGTGTTACCTCAGAAAGTTAAAAATTGAACTGCTATTTGACCCAGTGATCCCACTTCTAGGAATATACCCTAAGAAGCCTGAAACACCAATCAGAAAGAATATATTTACTCCTATATTCATAGCAACACTATTTACAATAGCTAAGATCTGGAAACAACCCAAGTGTCCATCAGTAGATGAGTGGATACATGTACATAATAGAATACTATGCAGCTGTAAGAAAGAAAGATCTCTTATCCTTTGAGATGGCATGGAAGGACCTGGAGAGTATTATGCTAAGCAAAACAAGCCAAGCAGAGAAAGACAAATATCACGTGATCTCACTTATTTGTGGAATATAATGAACTAAACAAACTGCTGAACAAAATTAACCCAGAGACATGGAGGTGGGGTGTAGACTGACAAGCCTCAGAGGAGGAGGGGGTTTGTGGGGGAAGAGATAAACCACAGAACTTACATGCATGTATTCATGACCAATGAACATAGACAACAAAGCTGGGGATGGGGTGGGGGGTGAGGGGAGGAGGGTGTCAATGGGGGAAAAACGAGAAACATCTGTAACAAAAACAAATTAATAAATAAAAATAAGAATACTTTAAAAATGTTTTTATTGATTTTATAGATAGAAAAGGAGAGGGAGAGGGAGAGAGAAACATTGATGTGAGAAAGAAACATTAATCGACTGCCTCTTGCACACCCCGACCGGGGATTGAACCTGAAACCTTGGCATGTGCCCCGATCGGGAATCAAACTGGCAACCTCTCAGTACACAGGATGATGCCCAACCAACTGAGCCACACCGGCCAGGGCAACAATAAGTTTTTATTTTACCTTTACTTATTCCTTCTCTGATGCTCTTCCTTTTTTTTTTTTTAATGTTGATTCAAGTTTCTACCTATATTATTTTCCTTGTCTCTGAAGACATTTCACCATTTTTAATCATCTGAGAAAGTATTTCTCATTCACTTTTGAAAGATAATTTCACTGGATACAGAATTCTAGGTTGGTATTTAATTTTTCTGTAGACACTATAAATATTTCACCCCACTCTCTTCTTACTTGCATGGTTTTAAGGAAAAGTTAGATGTCATTCTTATCTTTGTTTCTCTATAGCTAAGGTGTTTTTCCCCCTTCTGGCTTTTTCCAGTATTTTGTTCTTTATCTTTGATTTTCTGCTGTTTGAATATAGTATGCCTAGGGGTAGTTTGGAGGCATGATTTCTGCTTGGTGTTCTCTGAGCTTCCTGGATCTTTGGTTTTGAGCCTGACATTAATTTGGGGAAAACGTTAGTCATTATTGCTTTAACTATTGCTCTTCTTTATCTCTTTCTTCTCTTTCTGGTGTTTGCATTACATGTATGTTCATTGTCAAGCTATGGCTGGGGGTCTTTTTCTCTGGACAGATACCACGGACAGCACCTGAGAACTTCCCCTCAGCAGCAAACACTTCTGCGCACATACCTGTCAGATAGCGATGCCTCTGAAGCCAGAACAAAATGCAAAGATTAGAGTCCCTTGTTCTGTAAAAAGT